CACTGCACCACTGCGCGTCACAAGGCGCTACACTGCATAGAGGTTAATGACATTTTGTGACATTTAAAGTTTTAGTTCATCTTTACAAAAAATCTGCCTATGCAGGTAAAAGGTGTTTGTAGATAAAAAGTAACCGTGCAGCTCTGATAAAGATGAATAATGTCCTTGCTATAGGTGTAGGCCATTTACATACCTCATGAAGCCTGCCTGGAATACTCCCAGGATCAGGGGCGGACTGACAACTCATGGGGCCCCCGGGCAATAGGGGATCATGGGGCCCCTGTGTCCTTGCCCAAACTCAAAAAAGCCTATGAAAAAGGTACCAGAGGCATCTCATGGGGCCCCCTACTGACTGGGCAGTGCCCGAGTTTCCAAATGGTCAGTCCGCCCCTGCCCAGGATGTTGCTAGGACATTGCTAAGTGAGGCCTAGTCATTACTGCTCACATTCACCAACACAATTCTGATTCAAACCCCCTCACATGCTTTTTCTGCATGTTTTAGCTCTGAGCTCAGCATTTAGGAACTCACTCCTGTGATGGTGGAATGTTGGAAGTTGAATAATGCCCTTGCTATAGGTGTAGGCCATTTACGTACATAATGAAGCCTGACTGGAATATTACCAGGCCATTGCTAAGCAAGGCCTAGTCATACTGCTCACCTCCTCCATCACAGGAGTGAGCTCCTAAATGCTGAGCTCAGAAGATAAAACATTCAGGGGCAGAAAAAGCATGTGAGAGGGTTTGAAGCAGAATTGTGTTGGTGAAGGTGAGAAATAATGACTAGGCCTCACTTAGCAATGTCCTAGCTACATCCTGTGAGCATTCTAGTCAGGTTTCATGAGGTACACAAATGGCCTCACCTATAGTAAGTGCATTATTCAACTTTAACCAGTTGGCCTCCAGAGGATTTAACCCCCTTCCTGACCAGGCCATTGTTTGCGATACGGCGCCAAAATTCTACCCAGTAATTCAAAATCACACACACACACATATATATACATAAATACACACACACACACACACACACACACATATATATATATATATATATACATAAATATAAATACACACACACACATATAAATACATAAATATAAATACACACACAGACATATATATATATATATATACTGTATATATATATGTATATATACAAATATATATACATACATATATATATATATATATATATACATATTATTATACAGGACTTATATAGCGGCAACAGTTTGCTCAGCGCTTTACATTATAGTGGGAGATAATACAGTAACAATACAGTTCAATACAAGAGGGATTAGAGGGCCCTGCTCCTTGGAGCTTACAATCTAGGAGGGAGGGGATAGTGGTACAAGAGGTAATTAGCTGTGGGGGATGGAGTGGTTGGGGGAGTAGGGGATTCCAGTATCAGCTGGGGTCGGGCTAGGCTTCCCTGAAAAAATGGGTTTTCAGAGTGTGTCTAAAAGTAAGCAGAGTAGGCGATAGCCTGATAGCTTGGGGTAGGGAGTTCCAGAGGATGGGTGAAGCCCTTGAGAAATCCTGGAGTCGAGCATGGGAGGAGACAAGGGAGCTAGAGAGTAGGAGGTCTTGCGAGGAGCGGAGAGTACGGTTTGGGTGGTATTTAGAGATAAGGTCGGTGATGTAACTAGGGGCGGTGTTATGAATGGCTTTGTACGCCAGTGTTAGTGTTTTGGATTTTATCCGTTGGGCAATTGTATATATATATATATATATATATATATATATATATATGTGTGTGTGTGTGATTTCGCGTAGCCCTGCCGCCCTGTAGCAGTATTTCTGCTATAGGGCGGTCGGGAGGCGGTTAATCAGAGCTCCAGTTTGTTTTTATCTACAGACTCCTCTTTAGACATAGACATTTTTGACAGATTTTTTAATAAAGGGGAACTAAATCCGGCCATACACGGGTCAAACTTTGAAAAATAATTTTCTCTATAAAATCTTTTCTAAGAATTTTCATTAGAATTTCACAGCATTAGTGGGCCACAGCAACGGCTGATTTTTGAGCAACCATCGAGTTTGAGTAATCGGGAATGTTGGAAATTTTTTTGAAAAACAAATTTCTAATCAATGATGAAAGAATCATGTGAGAGATGTAAATGAAAAAGAAATGAGCATGAACTGTAACCTGTAACGAAAAGAAAATTATTGACCATAAAAAATCATTTCTGTAGCAACATGAGGTGAAATTAAAGGCTTGGTTTGGTCAAATTTCGATATGAATGGTGGCACCGTCAGATTAACCTCCCTGGCGGTATGATTATTTCATATTTTTGGTGCTGAAAGCGGTACCATTATTTTGCATGGAAATATGTACTTTTTTTATTGTAGGCTGTAATTTTTAGGAATAAGTCACTGAAATCTGAAATCTGTCAAAACAAGAGTCTATTAAACATCCCGGGTATGATAAAATTTGAAACACGAAATCATAAATTATAATTTAATAAATAATCCTAAAAAATAATAATATAATAATACGTCTAATTCAATAATATAATCAAACCGAAAACACTAAAATTTTAAATATAGCGCCAAGTTCGCACATCACTGAGCAAAGTCGCAAAATCGTTTTCAGTGTCTGATGGTGAATTTCCCCACGAATCATTATCACTCAATTCTGCAAGTGGTTCTGATTTACTATCGTTGTTCTCTAGCTGATCTAAACCTGCTTTTGACCTAAAGGGACACTTTTTGGACGCCATGGACTTTTCTCAGTTTCTAGGCAGAAAGAACAGACAAAATGCAGGCAGGGCACAGGACAAAGCACTAGGGACAAAATGTATGTGAAATGGGTTGAAACAGCAATGTTTTACTTTGTAAAATTTATTTGGAAAAAAATGAAATTTTTTAAAATTTTCAAATTTCCCTCCGCAGGTGTGCCCGTACGTCCCAACGTCACAGGGACCGGAACACAGAAGCCGGATGCCGGCATCGGCCGGAGGAGATGGCCGGGGACGCTGCAGGGGACACATTGTGGGGGCGCAGGACAAGGTAAGCTCTGCAGGGAATCCCTATGCAGCGCCGCATGGTAAGCCCGAGTGTAGCTCGGGGTCACCGCTTTTGGTACTGACATTTTACCCCGAGCTACACTCGGGAATACCGCTAGGGAGGTTAAAAACCACACAAAATTTCCGATTTCCTAAAAAAAATTTGTTTCACAATTCGACCCACGTATGGCCTGCATTAACCTTTAACCCCTTCCCGCCGACGCCTCCCGGCCCTTTAAGAGTTTCAGAAGCCGGGAGGCCGGACAGGCAGGGTTTAGGGATCATGTGACCGCCGTGACGCGTCATCACGGCGGTCACATGATCGGGAAAGGTCCCGATCGAAAGAGCAGACCGGGACCTTTCCGTGAGTACCGGACATGTGTGCTGGGAGTGCGCAGGGTGCGCGCTCTGAGCACATATGTTTTTTGTTAATTGCACGCAAATGTGCGGCCGCTCAGCGTCTAGGCCCAGAAGCCAGGAGGCCGCACAGTTGTGTGCGGCCGGCGTGAAGAGACTAGGCCTTGTTCACACTGGCACTGTAAACATAAAAATCTCAATCTAAGGCCTCATGCACACTGAGCTTAAAAAAATGCTAATTTTTTTTTAAAACATCTAAACATCCCTCTATGTTAGTCTATATGTCCACGCACATATAGGCATTTACAGGCATATTAGAAGAGGAGCGTTTACAGGCTACAAAAAAAAACATCACCAGTGTCTTCAGGAGAGGAGCTTTCAGGCAGAAAAAAACACTTGACGCACCTAAATGCATATAAATGCGTCTAAATGCTAGGCGCATTTGAGTGTTTGAGCATTCATTCATTCCAATGGCCAGAAAAAGAATAATATTCTGATCAATGGAATCCATTAACATTCAAACGCTTGACGCACTTAAACACGTCCAAACATATGTGCAATACGCAGCTTTAAGCGCATTTTTTTTAAGCTGCTTTTTGCTGCCAGAAGTAAAAGGCATTCAGAGGGGAAAATCAAACGCCCTGTGTGTATAAGGCCTAAGGCCTCAATTACACTGGCACAGAGACCTCAGTGTCACTGAGAGCCCCGGGTCCCGTTCTAACGATCGGGACCTGGGACTCGCGATTCCGGGTCACATGATCGCTGTGATAGCCTCTGATTGGCTATCACAGTGATCAGTCACTGTACAGCCCGGCCCCCTTGTTTTTTTTTCTCTCTCTATGAATGGAGAAGAGAGATACATTGTATCTCTGTAACTACTGGCACAAAGAGAAAAAAAAAAGTTTGTAAAGTAAATAAATAAATATTAAAAAATAAAAGAAAAAATAAAGAAAAAATACCTAGATCAAGGTTTGATCTAGGTCAGTGCCAGAGTTATTGTTTGGGTCAAGGTCAAAGGTCAGTAGTTTTAAAAAAAAAAAAAAAAATTGGTATTAGTGTCAGTGTGTTTTAGGCAAACAAAAAGACAAAAACAAAATGCATACTATTGTTTCTGAGCTGTACTACGGTTACATACAACAAATAACATACACATATATGGTATCGCTACGATCATTAAGAGCTGGAGAATTTATTTTGGGTTGTTCTTTGGTGGTAGGTTATGGTAGTAACAAGAAACACACAGCTATATAAAAAAATGATTTTTTTTTTTGGTACTATTTTGGGCCAGTTTTCTTTTGATAATAAAAAAAAAATAATCAGGAGATATCCCATTACCATTTACCACCAAATGAAAGCCCAATTTGCCTCAGCGGTGTGGAGCTGTAAACGGCATGTGCTCTTTTTCTTGTGTTCTTCTCAGGCTAGCTTACTACTGTTGTGCTGCTGGTGAGTTTCTTCTGTTCCTTCATACTAGAAAATTATAGCCTGAGAGATTGTGTGGCGGTGGAAACTGGCAAAGTTGATGATTGAGTCTCCATTGCTGTGTTGGGATAGGCCCTGTTCACATCTAGCGGTTTGTGGGCAGAATCGCTGTTATATGTCTGTAGTATGTCTGCAGTCTCACCATCTCCTGTATCATGTCCGCAGTCTCTGACCATCTCCCGTATCATGTCCACAGTTTCTGACCATCTCCCGTATCATGTCCGCAGTCTCTGACCATCTCCCATATCATGTCTGCAGTCTCTGTGCATCTCCCTATCATGTCTGCAGTCTCTGACCTCCTCTCGTATCATGTCCGCAGTCTCTGACCATCTCCCGTAGTATGCCTTCCATCTCTGACCATCTCCTGTAGTATTCCTTCCGTCTCTGACCATCTGCTGTAGTAGGTCCGCAGCCTTGGACCATCTCCTGTAGTAGGTCCGCAGTCTTTGACCATCTCTTGTAGTAGGTCCACAGTCTCTGACCATCTCTTGTAGTAGGTCCTCAGCCTCTGACCATCTCTTGTAGTAGGTCCTCAGCCTCTGACCATCTCTTGTAGTAGGTCCTCAGCCTCTGACCATCTCTTGTAGTAGGTCCTCAGCCTCTGACCATCTCTTGTAGTAGATCCTCAGCCTCTGACCATCTCTTGTAGTAGGTCCTTAGCCTCTGACCATCTCTTGTAGTAGGTCCTCAATCTCTGACCATCTCCTGTAGTATGCCTGCAGTCTCAGACCATCTCCTGTAGAAGGTCTTCAGTCTCTGACCATCTCCTGTAGTATGCCTGCAGTCTCTGACCATCTCCTGTAGTATGCCTGCAGTCTCTGACCATCTCCTGTAGTAGGTCCGCAGTCTCTGACCATCTCCTGTAGTAGGTCCTCAGCCTCTGACCATCTCTTGCAGTGAGCTGTGCTGCATTTTACCGCAGTGTACAGGATGGTGCTGCATGTCACCACACAGCAGTGCAAAGCCCCCTGATGCTGTGCCATGAATGAAGACTGACTGTCATATTTTGTTCTATTAACATTTTTTACCTAGTACCTGCTACTGACCCCCCCCCCCCCCCCATTAGAACAAAAAATTACCTACGGCCCTGCACTGCAGACACATATATACACATGCAAACGTATGTAAACATGCTTAGAATTAAATTCAAGTCTGTGGCCCTCATGTTGCATGAAAGTCGGACCAAAGTAGCGCAGGAACTACTTTCAAATCACTGCGACTTGAAGTCGCACAGATGTGATTAATACTCATTGAGAAACATGAGGTGCGACCTGTCATGCGAATTTGAACCCCAAAGTCACATGACAAGTTGCACAAGTTTGCAGCCTGTAAAAACACCTCAATGCGTATTTGAAAATCAGCGTTTACAGGCTGAAAAGAAATCACAAGCGCGTTTAGGAGAGGACCTGAAGAGCGTAAAAAATGCTGAACGCGCCAAAACGCAGTCTACACACTAGGCGCACTTAGGAGTGTTTGAGTGTTAATGCATTCCAATGGCCAGAATGAATGTTCTGGCAATTTGAATACGATAACGCTCAAACACTTGATGTGCTTCCAAGTACCTAGATTCAGTTAGATTCATTAGTTCAGTATGCCGATTTAGGTGCGTTTTTTAGCTTTTCCCCCAAGCAAGAACCGCAGTTTTGTTCATGTCAGAACATGTCGCAAAACATGCAGTTAAAACATGTGCAAAGCTCAAAAAAAGATATATGAGCTTCTTTGCCATATTTGTCGTGTGTAGGGCAGCCTATTGAAATGAATGGGCTGACCTTCTGCATGGATTCTTGACCGTTTGGGAAGGGCAATGAGGCCACAGGACGGCCACCATGGACCAAATTCCCTACCTGAGAGCTAAATATGTTGGTATAAAGAGGGTCTGATGGAATTGCAAATTAAACATTAGGGTAACTCCTTACCTTCGGGGAGGGAGACCCCCGTTTCAGCGGATTCTCTTTGATGAACATGATATTTAATATTCAAGGAACACAGTTACAGCCCTCACTTTTTATATGCCGGACTCTATGGGTATGACGATGTATGTAAGCTATGCTATTGTACACTGGTATTTTTCTTGTATTGTACTGTTTTACTTTTGAATTGTTAAAATTTTATTAAAAAGATTGGAAAAGAAATGAAATTAATGTGCTGCCCTAAACGTAAAGCAGAACAACACTCAAAGAACGTGCATATCCTGATGTCACACTACAGTAATGTGCATAGGGTCATAGTTAATTAGAAACAGGCCTATGCGCTATACTCACTGCACACATATGTACATACAGCATACATATTTCCACCGTACATGTACATGTAGTCGGCAAATGGTAAAGTTATGAGCAATTTCTGCCTCTCAGATAAGTTCCCAATGACACCACCGATCTTTCCAGCTATCTGTAAGGGGGCAATTCTTCCCAATGACCACAATTGTAAGAAGAATTCTTCCCACTGTCACACTACTATATCATGAGTTATATATATATATTTTATATATATATAGTAATTTTTAGATGGCGTTCCCTAAGACCAGAAAGGTATTTCAAAGGATCCTCTGTGAGGACCAAACCCAGTGCTGAGCGTGCACACTCATTCCTATGAACGTGCATGCTAATTCTTATAGTTACATAGTTGGTATGGTTGAATAAGGACCCTAGTCCATAAAGTAAAACCTGTGTGTTTAATTATGTTTCTACCACTTCCAATATCCCTGTATATTGTGTTCAATAAAATGCCCATCTCATTTTTTTTTTTTTTTAAATTAGAGACACTTCTCGCTGAAACCACCGTTTGTGAAAGGTAGTTCCACATCCTTACCGCTCTAACGTAAAGAACAGCTTACATATTTTAACGTTAAGGCCCCTTATTTGCTTTGTTGCCCTTCTCTGGAATTTCTCCAGTTCCATGAAAACCTTCCTTTGGCCTGGGTGACCATAACTGGACGGCATACTCAAGATGAGGCCAAACTAAAGTTATGTAAAGTGTTAGAATTTCACCATATTCCCAAAAGTATTGGGAATCATTGGATTCAGGTGTTCCAATTACCTCCATGGCCACAGGTGTATAAAAGTAAGCACCTAGACATACAGACTGCTTCTACAAACATTGGTGAAAGAATGGGTCGCTCTCAGGAGCTCAGTGAATCCAAGCGTGGTCCCGTGATAGGTTGCCACCTGTGCAATAAGTCCATCCGTGACATTTCCTGGCTACTAAATATTCCACAGTCGACTGCTAGTGGTAATATAACAAAGTAGAAGCAACTGGGAACAACAGCCATGAAGTGGTAGGCCACGTAAAATGACAGAGCAGTTTCAGCGCATGCTGAAGCTCACAGTGCGCAGAAGTCACCAACTGTCTGCAGAGTCATTATTTAAAGACCTCCAAACTTCGTGTGGCCTTCAGATTAGCACAACACTAGGTAGAGAGCTTCATGGAATGGGTTTCTATGGCCGAGCAGCTGCATCCAAGTCTCACAACACCAAGGGCAATGCAAAGCGTAGGATGCAGTGGTGTAAAGCACACCGACACTGAAATTTAGAGCAGCGGAGACATGTTCTTTGGACTCATGAATCATGCTTCTCTGTCTGGCAATCCGATGGACATGTCTGGGTTTGGCGGTTGCCAGAAGAACGGTACTTTCCTGACTACATTGTGCCAAGTGTAAAATTTAGTGGATGGGGATTATGATATGGGGTTGTTTTTCAGGGGTTGGGGCTTAGCCCCATAGTTCCAATGAAGGGAACTCTTAAGGCGTCAGCATACCAAGACATTTTGGACAATTTCATGCTCCCAACTTTGTGGAAACAGTTTGGAGATGGCCCCTTCCTGTTCCAACATGACTGCACACCAGTGCACAAAGCAAGGTCCATAAAGACATAGATGAGCGAGTTTGGGGTGGAGGAACTTGACTGGCCTGCACAGAGTCCTGACCTCAACCCCATAGAACACCTTTGGGATGAATTAGAGTGGAGACTGCGAGCCAGGCCTTCTCGTCTGACATCAGTGCCTGGCATCACACATGTGCTTGGGCCAACTCAATGTTGAATCCTACAGACTAAGACTGGGATGCCATTAAAGTTCATGTGTGTAAAGGCAGGTGTCCCAATACTTTTGGCAATAAAGTATATATATATATATATATATATATATATATATATACATATATATAGAGTCACTAATCACCTCTATTAGTAGTATAGAAAAAAAATAATTCCAGTATATATATGATTGTGAGTCAGGTTTTTTCCTCCAACATCAGTACCTGACCTCACAGATGCTCTTTTGGCTGAATGAGCACAAATTTCCAGAGACACTCCAAAATCTCAAGAAAAACCTTTCCAGAAGAGCAGAGGCTGCTCCAAAGGGGATGTGGAGGAGGAAGGGAAAATTCAAGGTTTTGGAATGTGATATCATAATTGTGCGATGGTAAGGTGTTTGAAAACATTTTGCCAAATGGTTTAGCTTTTCATTTTATGTCACTTCTTCATGCTACACCCCCCCATCACAAGAGAAGGCCAGTATAGAGCTGTGCATAGCAGCAGATAAGAATGGTGAATAGGTTAAAGGACTTTCATCTGACGTGTATGAAGTACGGAAACACAGTTTTAAATTGTGTTACCTAAGAACGACTACAGCACACAAGTGCTGACAAAGGGTGACACTTCTCGTCCCACATCAGTGCCTGACCTCACGCATGTGCTTCTGGAAGAATGGTCAAACCTTCCCATAGACACCCTCCTAAACCTTGTGGACGGCCTTCCCAGAAGAGTTGAAGCTGTTATAGCTGCAAAGGGCGGGGCCAACTCAATATTGAACCCTACGGACTAAGGCTGGGATGCCATTAAAGTTCAAGTGCGTGGAAAGGCAGGCCGACCAATACTTTTGGCAATATAGTGTGTAAATGTATCTCTTGAGCAAAAAACCTTTTTAATACGTGCTTATTGCCTGCTGGATTTGCTAATTGCAGCATGGCATTGCATGCTATTGCTGATTCTTTTAGGATCATCTACTAGAATCCCCAGATTCTTTTTCCATTCTTGACTCCTCCAGTGTCTGGCAGTATGGTCAGCATAATGCACACGCACATATGCCTGTACTGTCCTGACTTTCCTTACAATTGATATGATCCTTACAAGTGACATGATAGGAATTTATTCAAGAAATGCCCGTAGCGGAAAAGAGAGAAAAGAATTAGCGCAGGGCAGGCATGACTAGGCCTAGAGTGAGAAGGAAGAATGGAAAGGGTTAAGTATAGTGCCAGGGGGGTTTGAAAAGTATAGCGGGGGAGCTGGTTGGTAGATGGAGAGCGTGGGTGGGCTCTTCTGCACCTTAGGGTGGGGTGCCCTGGTGGGGGGGCATCAGTCGGAGCTGGACATTGGTGAGAGAGCTTGCACACCAGCGTATACTGTATAGGGCCTTTCCCTGAGGGACTCAGCGTGCGGACAGTGGCAGCTGTCATGGAGGATCTGTTGGCCCAGCTGCGTGAGGCGGCAGCCTCAAAAGGGATGGACTGGCTGCAGAGCTGGGTCTCTGCCTTACTGCAGAGGAAAGAGGGTGGGAGCGCCCACGTGCTCGGAGGTCTAGGCCTCCGGAGCGCTTTAGTCCAGGCTCCCCCCCCCCCCCAGAGCTCAGCGCCACAATGGGAGCCCCGCTCGGGACCCTCCGGCCCTGCTGGCAGGGCATTCTTTTGTCTCTGCTCACGGGGAAGCCGGGAGGAATCCCAGTCAACGGCGGACCTCGGCAGGTGGGGTCTTGCGCGGAGGAAGCCCCGCCCGCACGGCTAAGGAGACGGGATGGCAACGGCTCCTCCACTGACGAGGTGCTTGTCAGGGAGGGAGCCCAACGAGGGAGACGTAACGCTGCG